CTCACCAGTGTATTCAGCCATGGAAGTGATGGAGGACGCGGTGGAGCCGTTGTCCCAGTCTCTCTCTGCGGCTCGGCTGTTGTTGCGACTGCCTGGAAACGACTCCACAGAGTCACAGCTGGACACGGCAACAAAAACAGAGAGCGAGAGAAATTAGGGGATGTCGTAATTCATTACAGAACAGATTCACAATTAACAAGGTTACAATTACAAATGCAGCTGTGGTGTAATTTACCGCTGGGAGCCGGCCCCTCCGGAGTTGACGCTGTCGGCCTCGTTTGTCGCTGCAGAGGCCAGAGACAGATTGGAGCCTGACTGGGCGTTGCTCAGGTTGTCTGCTGCAAAGAAGAGAAATTCAATGTTTAATGCAACGCAATTTGGGGTTTGGAAAGAAAATCTTGGTAATATATCTGTAGATGTAACAAAAGTAAAGCAAAGAACTGGAAAAGATAAAATATATAAGAAGTATGTTTTTTGACATGATGTAATCTTATGGGACAGATATTCTGTGAAAAGATCAGTTTCCTTCACCTCCTCCTTGAACAACTATTGTCGTATAAAAAAATGCAATGCTCCCTGTCAAAATTAACCAATCAGAACCAAGAGGAGAGCCTCAGCGCTGTCAATCAACATCATGTACTTGCTGCTAAATGAGCAAATGTTGGAGAAACAACTTGCCTTTACAGAAAAACCGATTATCCACCATGTTCGGTGTACATGCTAACTAGCCTTAGCATTCGCTGCAGGCTTTGCTAGCTGCAGCATAGCTAAAGGAGGGGAATGAAAAGGGAATGAGCAGCGCTACAGGAGACTGATTTACAGCGCTGAGACCCTGATTGGTTGATTCTAGTTATCACTGGGAGAAGGCAGATGAGCTCAATTTTTTTTTTCAGATTTTCTGTCTCTTAACATACAGTCTTAACATAGTGACAGTTTCACCAAATATATTTAATAAAAGTTACACAGTGCAGCTTTAATGTGAAGGGAAGTTCTGATTTAAGAGTCTCACGTGTGGAAGAGCACTTGGAGAAATCATCAGTGGCAGATTCCTCTCTGATAACCGCCTTGTGTTTGTGTTTCTGCTTGGGTTTGGGCGTTTTGGGCTTCACCAGGCCTTGCTCCTCAAACATCTCCTGCTGCTTCCGCCGAAGATACTCCTGCTTTATCAGCTCCCGCCGCGTCTTCTCCTCCTCTTTACGCAAGCGGTCCTCCTCCGCTTTTCGCCTTGTTCAAACCAAATACCAATTTTAGCATTTTATGGGACGGTAAGATCCGTTTGCCATTACTGGTTGATCTACCTGGCTTCATCTCGTTTCAGTTCGGATTCAGCTTCTAGCTGTTGTTTGCGAATACGAGCCTCCTCGGCTTTCTTCTGTTGTTTCAGCAGGAATGCTGCCCTCTTCTTCGCAAGTTCATCCTCAGCTTTCTGCTCATCCTAGGATATGGTAAAATGTTAAACATCATTTAATTACAAAACAACTAGACCAAATTTCACTGTAGAGATAAAATCAATACTTTATGACTACTTGGAGAGGTAACGCACATTTTCCTTTTCAAATACTCAACTCTAATTTTCCAATCCACCCTCAACAGAAAAGTCAAACCCTTTACAAAGTGGTTTAAGATCAATGTTGTGTGTGTCCATATTCAAAGGCTGCATTAGTAGACCGATTACGTCACAGTGATGTGACCAAGACTCCTCCAAATTCATCATTCGCAGCTCATACTTTCCCAAGATTCTCTTAGGTCAAAAATGAGACTGGTGTTCTTGTAACAAAGCAAGAGAGAAGTACAGTCCTAAATGTACTAACTTTCTGTCGCTCCAGAGTATAAGTTGCATTAGTCCAAAAATATGACATGAAGAGGGAAAAAAACAATGACTGTAAGACACACTACCAGCCAAACGATGAAAAAAACTGAATTACAGTTCAGAAAAATAGAGCAAGTCTATTCATATCTGGTAGTAGGAAAGTTAAATGCTTAACGTAGATGTGCTGTTAGGCATCTGTACTTTGGAAAATGTTTGTGCAAAATTTTTGTAATAAGCTGCATTAATAATATAATACAGTGGATGAGTAGACAAGTAAAGATCACTTAAGCTTGGGACTGGGGAATAAATCTGTAACAATATATATTGCGGTAGACAAGCGATCAATATCAATAGATAATCTATATTTTAGAATAGAATATTTACTGAACGCCAATCCAGAACCGCACAGCATTCTGGGGGATGTAGGCAGAGAAAAGGCTTTAGCCGCTGAAACTCTCAATGCTAGCAAAGCAAATTTGATGGCATCAACCAACTCACTCAGTCTTTGGTTCCCTAGCAACTCACTCACTTTTTGGTTGCCGAGCAACAAACTGGTACAGCAGCAGTTTAAGGTTTCACCACCGTGAATCCTAAAAATGTTAAAAATGATAAAGATCACCTCACCTGTTTGGCAGTACTACAGATATTTAAAAAAAATAAATAAATAAAACCTAATCAATAATTATCAATAGACAATTATTAATATCAACTGATATGAAACTTTATATTACGATGGCTTTTTTTTTAAAGATCTTTTTGGCTCTAGTGGCCTTTATTTGATAGTTAATTGACAGGAAAGTGGGTAATGAGAGAAGGGGGAAGACATGCAGCAAAGGTCGCCAAGGCCGGGAATCGAACCTGCGACAGCTGCATGGAGGACTAAGGCCTCCATATGTGGGTTGTGTTTAACCCCTGCACCACCACAGCACACACACTTATGATGGCTTTTTCAGTCATTTTGTCCAGCCTTACTTCAGCTCATAAAATCGTTATACGAAAAGAAACAAAAAAAAACAAACAAAAAAAACAAAACAAACATGAAATGAGAAAAGGATTACCTTGAAGAAGAAGCCCATCACTGACTTCTGCTCTCCATCGCCTTTCTCTGCCGCGGCGTCCTCGGTGCCCTCCTCTTCCTCTGGGGCCTTCAGCTCGGACAGATCCACCTCAATCAGGTGGGTTTTGCTTCGCTGTGCCTCTTCTGACAGGAGTCCTTCCTTCTCTGAGGAACTGACGTCACCCTCTACCTGCGTGCTGGACCCAGACTCGCCAAGCGGTTCTGGTGCAGGCACGCATGCTAGGTCCACGCGGGTTGGCAGGCGCATGTTAGCCTCGTCCTGAAGGCGGAAGGTGGCACTTCTGACATGCCCAGATCCCGGTCGGTCCATCATCTCCGCGGCGGTGGGGTTTCGATCGCATCTGGGGGACCTGCCTCCAGATAACTGCCGTGGGCTTGCTAAGGTTTCTGACCCGCCCTGGGTCGGGGTGAGAGCCCTGGAGGCCGGTCGGCTCTGCTCCTTCGCCAGTTTCAGCTCGGACGGCTTGGACCTGGAGCTCCGGCCTGAGCTCAGCTTGGGCGGCTTCCTGGTGGGGGCGCTGCCCGACCCAGAGAGGTGCTCCACGAAGTGAAAGCCTCCCGTCTTCGAGTCACCGTTTTTGTCTCCTGCGTGTGGAGGAGGCGGCGTCGCGCAGGGTGGGGATTGCACATTCTGTTTCATCAGCATCTCCTGCTGCAGCGACAGTTGCATCATCTGCTGCTGGATGCTGCCGATGGCTTCGTTCAGCAGCTCGATGGAGCGGCTGCACTCGTTCAGGTCCAGTTCCTCGTCGAGATAAAAGCTCCCGCCGTTCCCCTTCTTGTCTGCTTCCAAGGCACCCATCCCCTCTGCCTCCTTCTGCCCCCGTAGGGTGTCGACACACATATCGTCTTTGCTTAAGGGTCCCTTCTCCCCGTTGAGATCGTCTTTAGAGATGTCTGCTTTGAGTGAGCTGGGCAGCGTGTCGCTCCGTCCGCCTCCTTTCTTAACGATGTGCAGAAACGCCGCTTTGCCCAGCTTCTGTCTCTGCCTCGCCGCCAGCACCTCCATCTTCTTCTTCTGGTGCTCAATGGCTCGCCGCTTCTCCTCCAGCTGCATCCGGAGCTGAACGATTTCAGACGCCAGCACGTTGGTGCCACCGTCACCTGGACGATTGCACCCTCCCAAGGGGGAGGAAGTGCTCTGATCTCTCTTCAGTCTCCAAGACGACGACAGGGGTCCGCTGCTCTCCGACCCGTCCGGGGTCGTCCTCTGGGAGCTGGAGGCGCTGGAGCGCAGGTCGTGGTTGCTGCCGAAGCGCTGCTGCTGCGCTTTTCGCTCAGCGAAGGAGGTCATGCGCACGCTGCCGCTGGCCATGCTGCTAGCTTGGGAGTGTGTGCTGAGGCAGGGGCTGGAGCGGCCGCTGGCGCCATTAAAGTCTTTGTCTTCGTGCTCTTTGACATTCATGTCCTCCTGGAGCTTGGCTGACTCCTCTTCGTCTGCTTCGCCGTAACCTTTCCTCGAGTCTTTAGTGGTCAGAGCTTCGTCCAGATCCTCCTCTTCCTCATCCAGGTCCTCCAGCTCTGCCTCCGGACCGTGGACGCACTTTGGCTGGGCAGAGTCCGAGTAAGGTAGAAACCTTCAGCTGGCTCCCTGGTTATGACCGCTCTGAAATCCGCCTGCTGCCGCTCGTCCGTCAAGCGTTCCTCTTCGCCTGGAGCGGGAAACGTCTGGTTGAGATCAGAAGGCGCTTTTCTGCGAACGGCAGCTGAAGACCCATCTCCACGGCGTAAGGAACCCCTACCTGCCGAGCGGGGCCCCTCCCCGCTCTCCTCCTCTTTGTTCAGACATACAGATTTCTCTTTAGCCGTTTTCAGAACAGCAGGCATCAGTGGTTCAAGGTAAAAGCCGTCGGCGTCAGGAGTGGAGTCGGAGGAAGGTCTAGGTATGGCTGTGGCTGACGCAGCAGGCCCGTCGGATCGTTTTGGGATGACAGTAGCGTCGGCGGGAGTTTCTTCCCCGTCCTCCATGTTGACATGACTCAGTAGATTGTGGCCGTTGACTCTTCGCATGGCAGACGACTGGTGGACGGCGGTCTGATGTTTAGGAGTGACGTTGGTGACGTTGGACGCCAGGCTGTCCTTGCTAATGGAGCGAGCCAGACTCACGCTGTCGCCAGAGGCAATGTCAGCGTCGCTGTCGGTGGCAGAATGCAGCATGAAGGGGCTCAGCGTGGACAGGGGTCTAAAAAACAAAAAGTTTTTTTATGATTAATTTCCCTTTGGATCAATTAAGTATTTTTGAATTTGAATGATGTACAGTTTACAATTTTTCCACTTTTGTGGTCAGATTAGGACGGAAAGGAAGTTGGCAGGAGGTCAAATTTGCACCATTCTTAAATTGTGTTTGACATTCAATCATTTCATACCCCTAGGTTGAACTTCGGACTCCAGTAATTCAGGAGTTTGGTTTGGTTCGAATGATAGGCTTCCACACAACACATCGTGGTTGCAGTTTTATTTAGGGGTATCATAGCAACAAGTTTCTTTCCACTTTAAAGCCATGCACTACTTTGTAGTGATCTATCAAATAAAATCCCAATAAAAAAGACGTTAGTGGTTGTACTGACAAAATGTGTTCAAGTTCAAAGGCTGGGAGTACTAACAGCAACTGTAAATATGACATCGATTGAATAAAAGTGTGTTTTTTTTCCCATGTACCTTTGCCTTTTGTCGGGCCACGCTGCAGCAGAGCCTCTGAGTTGTTGTCCATCCATCTGACTGAGAGAGTTCGAACGGTTTCTCAAGCCTACGGAGGGAAAAAATAAAAATGAAGTAGGACAAGAAAATGAACCTTCATTCCCAAGAGATGTGAAGACTTATATTTACCTCCGCCGTCGTCCCCTTGCTGTTTTTGTTGCCTCTGTCTAAGAGGAAGCAGTGGATGAGAGGGACTGAAGGCCGGACCGCCCTTACTAAGAGCAAGCATAACAAATGCAATTAGAAGTTCCTAAGAAACCCTTACTGTAAAAAATAGACAAAGAAACAATAAAAACAGTACATTTCAATAGAATCTAATGCTTCTAGGGTTGAAACTGTAATAGTGATTGAAATTATTAGCAATTTAGGAATAGATTAATTGTTAACTGGAGTACACATACATAAAAAAGGTAATTTGATGAAAAGCATCATATTCAGAGTCGTAAAACCAAAACTGTACAAATAATATATACATTTTGCCAGAACTTCTCAAATTACTTAGTTTAACTTCACTTAGTACAAATTCTGTAACAAAATTTAGCTCTGCACTGTACCGATGTTAAATCAAGCAGAAAGGGCCGAGCTTTTCACACGTTAGAAATGTTTTAGCTGCAGATGCATCCTTTGCTAAAAATGATCAAGCATACACTGAAGGAATTCAATTTTATTGCATTTTATTCAATAAAATGTTCATTTTCTCATTCAAAGAATGAACTGTATTTGTTTTATATACAGAATAAAATGAAAAATGCGCAGAATGTGCTTTTTAAAAAAAATCTGAATAATAGTCAGAATAATTGTCAGTTGCAGCCCTAAATGCCTCACATTATATTTCAAGACAGCACAGAAAACACACAGTTGGAATGGGTTTAGACAACCATGACACAGAATCATGTGAGAAGGAACACCAGACACCACTACATGTACCCATGTTTGAATTTACTGCAGCTGCTAAAAAAGGAGGTGAAGGGAAAGTAAAAAAGACGAGAAGAGACTTACAGAGGGTCAGAGCCTTCGGGGTGCAGGAAGTACCTGTTACAGACTTCGGGGTTGCTCTGGTTATCTGCCACGCCAGGACTAGTCAGAAAGCTGCGCTTGGTGGCGTTGGAGATGGGCACTGATGGCCGGGCACTCTTGGGATGAGCTATGGCTCGAGCTAAATGGGGAAAAAAAAGGGAGAAATTACAGCCATCTGCAACCTGCGGGACCACAAGTGGCTCGTTGGATCTTCCAGAGTGGCTCTTAATAACTTTGGAAAAAAGTAAAGAACCAACTAACAATGCACTTTGGGTTTTGTTTGTTGTGATGCTTACCATCTTTAAACTCTTGAAGGTCTCTGGGTTGGACGAACTCTGGCTTGACCGTCTCAAACCACCAGAACAGCTCAGCAATGAACACCATAACGTTGTGCTGCAGACAGAGTTTGAAGCACATCAGAAATGCTTGAATGGAGAGAAGTGGTGACATTTAAAAGCAGCAGTACAAGTTGAGTACTTTGACTTCCATGAAAGAAACTGAAATCTGTCGGATGTGATTACCTTGAGAACAAGCGGTGAGTAGAGCATGTCCTCCATTGTCAGATAGCAGCTTTTATTCAGATATTCACTGGCAAATTCTCTCAGCAGCTGGATGTTGTACAGACTATCAGCGATGGAAGGGACTTCCTTCAGGCAAATATCTGATCAGACAGGCGGCAGAGAACGGGTCAGATCGGGATGCAGCTCAGTGACCGGACGACTACAAATGTCACGCTGAGAGGAACTGTGAGCCGTGTGCGAAAAACAAAAATAGTCTTACACACATTCATGCTACATTCACAGGGGTTTGTACATTTTCCCACTGTAAAAATAAATCACTTTTCAAGCATTTTCCAGGTAAGTTTTCACATTTTTCCAGCACCACCACATTGAAGAAAAAAAAAAAAAAAAAAAAAAAAAAAAAAGATTTTATTCAGAGGAAGTTTATTGTCGTTTATTTGAAGGCAACTGATAATTAGTAAGATGTTGCTAGAGATTTTGAGAGTGTAAAAGTGTGAATGAACTACATCTCACCCTCCAGCTTCATGATATCAGGGCAGTAGTAGTGGACCACGGTGAGCAGCGCGCCGCCGTCACAAACGTCCCTCATGAGGTCTTCCAGCAGCGGGAAGAAGGGCAGCTGGCGACCTGATGCGTGCTCTCGACGATACCGGACCTAACCAGCAGGGGGAGACCATCGGGGTTTCATGAGGATAAGAATGTCATCATGAAACATCCCTCAAGCAACAACACGGTTCCCCAGCTATAAATCAATTTTCCAATTAATACTGAAATGCGTTCTTCAAAGCACATTAACCTTGAAGGTTCTCCTTCAGTTAATGCTCAAACTAATGAAGGCAGCAGGTCAAGGTTCCCCCCAGGACTTTGACCGAGTGGGGGATTTACTTTATTACCCTTCAGCTGATCAGTTTAATGATGTATTTTGAAAACATTACACTGCTGACTAGGTCTGTCGCAATAAGCAGTAGATCAATTAATTACATGATAAAACAAGCTCAATTATTTCCATTTGCATGAATTATCGTTTTTCTTTTTTCTCTCTTTCTACTGGATGACAAAAGTCTTCAGTCTGGTACTTTGGTCTCAATTAATCTGAAGGTCAATTTTGTTTACAGAGATTTCAAAATAATTTTTATTTTGTTTGTTCTGTTTACTTATTTTGGATATTTAAAATGTCTTCCAGTTCCAGCATCAAATGTTAATTTGAATTGAAAGTCTATTGATCTTTGAGAATGTGTTCTTGCATTACATCACTTGAAAATGATATAGAAAACAACAATATTATCGTTTATCCTAATAACTTCTGGGACAATTTGTCGTCCAGCAAAATGTGTTATCGTGACAGGCCTGCTGCTGACTGAAAATATCAAATCGTACAATAAATCAGTTCCAGTGGGGAGAACCCTGAAGATGGTTTACTGTGAGGAGATGGAGGTGACGGTGTTAGAGTTGTAGCATGAACAGCAGAGCAGAGGAATCAACCTCTCTCTGGTGTTTAGAAGCAGATGGCCAGAGATGAAACCCAGTTAAACTACGCTGCACAAATCAGCTGACTGGCTTGGAAACTGGGCTAATCAGTGGCCCACTTAGAGGAAGCAAGAACATTCAGCACTGAAAGTTGATCAAATTGTTGTGAGTCGGTTCAGTTTTCAATTTGTGGGATTAAAAAAAAAAAAAATTGGAAACCTAAGCTTAGATAATGAAACTTATAGATTCTGGGGTTCGTACACTTTTTCCATAGTAAAATTAAAGCATTTTCAAAGACTTTCTAGCATTAGCAAATAGAAATAATATTTGTAATTCCAACTGACATAAAACAAAAAAAAAGTTTGATATTTATTATCTTTCAATATCTGGTTTCAACTATTAATCACGCTTTACAAATTAAGGATTTTAATCAAAAGTTAGTTTGGCCTTTCTTACAAAACTATGCAGAAAGAATATCAAGGACTTTGAAGGACTTTACACAGAAATCAAGCACTTTCCAAACCTTGAAAACACCTCATTGAAATTCAAGCAGCACCCATAAAAACTCTGCAGAATCCACTAAAATTAAAAATGTAAATACCTCAGCGAAATTAATCAATGGCGATATTTTTGATGAATATTGTGGTGGCACTCTGAATTACACCTCATTCTCATCTGCCATTACAAAGAACCTCATGTCAGGAAACACCGTGTGTGTCAGGTTTAATCAATCAGGCTGAATATCTTTTGACACTTAATATTGTTGTAAACAAATACTGTCGTTTGTTAGCACTGCAGACATTGTTACCACGACAACAACATATTTACACACTAAACACTGCGGCTTGTATATAAAATGGATAATGAACGCATTCCTGATTTCAGAGTTGTTCCACAGCACTGATAAGTCAAAGCTGACACATTTATTCATATTAATTCATGTTAACAAGTCACACCATTTAATGATCGTCATTTTATTTAGTAACTTCTTAAATGATTAAAAATAAAAGTTAAAATCAGTATTGGCTAAAATCTGAATAATGCCTTTTAAAGAAAACTGAAAAAAGTGCACCACTATATCAAACCTTTAAATGCAAATAATATACGCATTTAAAGACAGTGCTATGAGAATACAAATCTCACAAAGACTAAAGAAAAACAGGTTTATTCTAAACACATCTCACATTCAGTACAACATAACCAAACAAGAAAAATCTCTACCTAAACACACACACGACTAAAGCATTAACCAACGTCTAAGTCTGGGTCTTTTTGAGGCCATTTCATGAAACTAAAGGAAGCATTTAAGGTCATAAGAGAGGCTAACAACCAAACTAAAGGCTCTAAATGCAGTGCTGTAAAAAACGCTTTGCAACATGTTTCACACTGAGCAGATTTTGAAAGATTAGAGAAAGCAAACCAAGAAAATACAAAATGCAGTTTAATGATGATTTAACTTATTAATGGAGGGGAAGGTAATCCAAGCCAACTAAAAATACACATATGAAACTGTAGCTAGGCCTGTTGCGATAAACGATAAATCAATTAATCACACGATAAATTAAATCTATCGACCTCATTTTAATTATCGGCATTATAGTCTCTTCTGACTGAATGAAAATCATTATAACCTATTTATGTCACGTTAACGAAGAAAAGCTGAAAACTTATCGGGTTTATCAGCTGCGGTAGCAATTTGGCTCCTACTCCTCTAATGGTCATTTCTATTTTCTTTGCACTAAATCTTGAATAAACATTAATGCTGTTTCCACATATCATCTCCAAAGTCCGCTGGACTTCGGGTTGCGCCGTGTCAGCTGTTTGGGATTCCCCTCCGTAATTTCCCCTCAGAAAGCACAGAGGAGAATCCTTCGCTTTCTGATTGGCTGCCTGTCACATTCAGCGTTAATGCTCCCAGTCAGGGAAAACCCTGATTTAGATCGGAGCGGCCACGACAATCTACCATAACCCACCACATACTGCAGGATGATCGGTTACGAAATCACCAGCGACAATCTTAGATCGGCCAACGATCCAAGATTGTCATAATGGGAAAATAGGGGCAAAAAATCGTGTAGTGTGAACTATTGCATTAGGTAGTCGGATGTGCCCATCTTCTCCATTTAAATCTAGTAATTACTGTAGGGCGATATAGTATACAGACTTCATAATCTGCATTCTTTTGGTTGAAGACAGTATTTATTTTCACTTTGGCTTTATGTTTACTTTTTATTCAAGTACGTTTTTTGTTAATGGAGACTGAGAATCCATTTTATTTTTGTTTTTGGTTGTTTTGTTTATTTAGTTTATCAGTTCCAGTGTCATGTTCTTTTGAAAATAAAGTGTATCTATCTATGCCAGGAAATAGCGTACATTATTAGTCATTTCCATTAAATCAGTGTCAAAAGGTCTTGAAACAATATTATCGTTTATCGCAATAATTTTTTTAGACAATTAATCGCTCAGCAAAATTTGTTATCGTGACAGGCCTAGCTGTAGCGCAAAAATAGAATAAAAGTGGAAGTGGTGAACGATCTGAGGAGTTCCTCTACCAAAACTATTCAAGGCCTGATCATGAATTCATCCAGGAAGTGACAAAATAACCCAGAACATCTAAAGCACCGAAGGCCTTGTTTGCTTAAAGTCAGTGTTTGTGACGTAATTAGGCAAAAACTGAATCCACTAGAAGACCAAAAAGAACCCAAAGGTCTGTTTCACATCTGAGAAAACCCGATGCGGATGGTTCCCACAAGACTATGGGAAAAAGTGAAACTCTTTGGAAGGTGCGAATCCCGTTACATCTGGTGTAAAACTAACCTCATTTCTGAAACACAACAAACAATCAAAGCTGGTTTGGATAGACTCTTCCCTCCCCCCCCCATTTTAAAACCGCATTTTGTATTTCTTCTGTCTAGGGCTAAAACGATTAATTGGATTAATTGTGATTAATGGATTATTGAAATAAACACCAACTAATTTAATAATCGGCAGATTACTAAATGGAAAATAGAGTCAAAGAAGGCCAATTGCTGAAAGAATGATGTATTCACAGCAGTAATTAAGACAAAACTGTACAAAAAATATAAATTTGCATTTAAGATAAAAAAAACCTTTGTAAATATTTGAGTGGCACATAGTTTTAGCTTCTTCCAGTTCAAATTCTGCCAACTAAATCTTCCATTACGCACCTTTTGCCATCTAATTATTAATAGGCCATGCAAAAGTTAATCAATGAATCTATAAGCGATCAAAGAGGAATGTTATGTTATTGCATTTTAGGCAAAAAAAATATATACATTTTCCCATTTTAAAATGGAAATTAACTATTCGTTCATTTTCATCTTTTCCACAGAATATGCCAAATTTATTTATCCAATTAATCATTCAAATGATTCAAAGAATAATCAATATTTCTATCTTGTCTTAAAATCGGTTTTAAGGTCAGAGAAACTTAGACAAAGAAACGTACAAAGCAGAATAAATCTGAGGGAGAAAGCATTTTTTACAGCACTACAGATAATTCTTCTCCCGACTAGGACAGCACACTGTACCACTTCGTAGAGATCCGGCGGCTCCAGCATGCTGTGGGCCAGCTCGGGCATGGCATCAGGCTGACATACACAAAGCAGAGTCACTGTCAGAGGAAGTCGTGGGCACATTTTACTTGGTGTGAGAAAGCAGGAAAGAACGAGAGAGAAAGAGAGAGAGAGACTGGTGGGAGAATGACTAAGCAGATCAGTGAGAGGTGGTAGCCAAGGATGGGTCTGCAAAGCAAAGGAGACGTGTGGGCATGGCTCTTTACTCTCACTGTACAAGCAAATAACCACATACACTTACGCACAGAGAATCCACATGGCCTGACAATGCGTAGCAAAGGAAGCATCTTTAGAGCGCTTAAAAGGCTGGAATGCCATACACCTGTCTGGCATGTTAGCCACAATGGAAAAGAAGTCTCCTTTCTCCCCCATTGATGAGGCGCAGGTGACAAACGGCACCACTGAATGAGCTTGAATGAGCCATGGTGGAGTGTGCGCGCACATCAACACAAAACTATGCGTGCAAAAAGGGGGGATTATAGGCAAGAACGGGTGTATGGGCAGGGGCTGGCATCCAACTTACAGGGACTAGCTTCCAATACCATTTGGAGGGAGACTATCCAGTTTGCAGGGACAAGAGAAGGAGGAAGAGGAGGAGGGAGGTATGAGGAACAGGAGCAGAGAGAATAAAAAGTCAGAGGTTACAAGCAAAAGGATCAGATCTGCTTCCAGAGTAGAGAAAAAGGAGCTGCAGAAATAGCATTACAAAGAGACATTCCCAAAGCCAACAAAGGAAGTTGCTGCTTTCTTGAATCAACCCTCAATTTTTCCCAGCTTGATCTGGAAATGAGAAGAATTTCATCTTAAAGTTAATAACTTTCTGTACAGTCACACTGAATGGCGTTACCTTTTGGTGGCTGGGCGACTCCAGAGGGTGATGCTTCACTTTGTGTTCCCTTTCCATCATCTCCCTCATTTTCATGTTCACCTGCAACAGAAATCAAAACATGTTGATGTTTATACCCAGAAAGAAAACATATCAAATTTTAATTTCCCATGTGGCATTAAGTGACTTTAAATCTGTATTTATATTCAAACAGCTGCTGCAAAGCAATCAAAAAATACTTTATTGATCCCAAACAGAAATTGTCAAAAAAAAAAAACTTAGATGATCCTAAAAGACAACCAGATTGTTCAAACTTTGAATTACAGCTAAAAGTTTACAGATTTTAATCTGATTGGTGCATCTTTTTTAAACTTTAGGTCAGTAAGAAAAAACCCAAATACTGAAAAAATAAACTGTAGAAGTTTATTTATGCAACAGAAGCTGAATGTTTCAGAGAGTTGACAGCTAGTAAAATAGGTCCTGCTGCGTTTCTAATATCTCAAAAGTTTGTCAGAACCTTGTTGATCCAGAAGACCATGGCATCCTCAAGGTCAAAGGGCAGCTCCTTTGAGGCACTGAAGGTAGAAAAGCGCTTGACAGAAGCCACCACTTTCTCGATGCTGATCATCTCAACTGTGTAGGCCATCATGAGAGCATCGATCATTGAAATGTGTGCACTCTGTTAGCAAGAGAAACAGGATAATTCAATTATGTTAGATTTTTTTCCTCCACTAACTTAACCTAACACTGCAAGAAGAGATCAGAACGTAGAATCTGGCTGGTTTAACACGTACAAGGAAACAATTCAGCAGGCATGACAGGTACTTGCTAATCAAGAAAAGTGATGATGTGAAAAAATAGATCATATATATATAAAGCTTTTTCATACTTCAAACTTGAGAATAAAATGTAGAATTAACACTTCAATTTAAGTTTGCTTTTTAATTTTTAAAAGCTAATGTGATATGTTTCAATTCTCATTTGTTTTTCTGGTTTTTAAATGCAACAGTGACCAACACATTTCATGAGTACTGATGATTTTAACAATGACACTTGACAAAATGAATAATCTTATTGGTTTTCACAGCTGTTGCCTATACAAAAGCGTTTATGCTTTCATGATGTGAACCACTTTGAAGTGCCATGTAACTAAAATGTTCTATACAAATAACCTTGATTGATTTTTTTGCACTTAAGACTCTCTCTGTTTCTCTCTGTTCTTCAAATTTGAGACCAAGCGTGATGTTTGAATCTTATTGCACTTAAAAGATAAGGAACTGACCACTAGCATTTTTTATTTCATAAATTTCTTTTACTAGCCAAAGTAGCGAATCTAGAATGGAACAATGTTTTATTTGATTACTAGTCAGAATAACCAACAGATTACTCAATTACTAAACTAATTGTTACAACGGCCTTAATTAGAGCCACACTATCAGGAACATGTCATTCGGATACAATTCCTGACATTTTTCTGATTCTTCCTCCAACACAGATCACTCTGAGATTTAGCATCACAGCACCTAAAAATATGAATCAGGTGTGGATATCCAGGGCAGTTAAAAGTACTTATCATAAAAATATTACAGGTTAGCAGGATGTACAAGCAGGACCCTTAAAATACAAATACCCCCAAAAACACTGCTGCTATTAATTGAATGTGACATTACACACGCAAACCTGATCCTTTTCCTTGTAATGTTTTGGACATTAACTTGTGACAAAAAGATATTAATTCATGCTTATTGCACAGTACTCCAGAAGGCCATGTCACTCAAAGCCATTACACAACAAATCCATAAAAACATACAGCATTGTTTCTGTCAGCGCGTAATGAAACTCGCTCCCGGCGTAATCCAATTGCTGATGGAAGTGCACAGAGACTAAGCTTGTTAACAGAAAATGAGAGTTATTCAGAGCTTTTCCTACAGCACAACCTACATGGAGACTAACAGAAAATATACTTTCAAACAGACAAAGTTAGGGACAGATAAAAGTTAAAATGCATTGCATAAGTTCTGACGTTTTCTTTTATGCATCCAGAGTGAAGTTTCCATGATTTGTGGAGCGAAGTCATCTGCTGGGTGTTGGTCTATTGTGTTTTGTTGAGTGTAACGTGAGTGCAGCTGCCCAACAGGAAATTTTTAAGCACTTTATGCTTCCTTTTGCTGACAAACTTTATGGAGATGCTGGTTTAATTTTCCAGCAGGACTTGGCACCTGCTCACATCGCCAAAGGTATCAACTTTAATGACCAGAACGTCACTGAGCTTCATTATCCAGAAAACGAGTTGGAGCGGAAGCCTATGGAATATATATTATATTATATTATGAGGAAGACAAGAGACATCACAGCCAACAATTCAGACCAGGGCTGAAGTGATCTGATTAATCGTGATTAATCGATTATTGAAATAATCGTCAACCAATTCAGTCATTGATTACTGGATTGTCCAGACTCAAAAAAAAGAGGCAAATTGCAGAACAAACAACTTGTTCAGAATAGTAACTAAGCCAAATTGTCCAAAAATAAATTAGCATTAAAAGATGCATGTTGGGTTTAGGGTAATGTTTGTTGTCTTATTTAAAAAGCTGAATTATTTGGTTCTTTGCATCATTTAATGTATTTCTAATTTTGTACAAAAACTCTTAAATAAAAAAAATAAAAAAATCAGCAGAATGTCAAATTTTTTAATCCGATTAGTCGTCAGAATAATTGATGACTAAATTCAGACCATCTGAGAACTGCTATTAAAGCAACGTAGGCTTCATAATCCTCTCAGCTGTGTAGCTCCATGCTGCACAGCATTAATGCAGTAAATCTTGCCAAACGAGTCAGCAACAGGAATATTTTGTACATACGTTTTGATATTCTTTTTAGTTTCTGTAATAAAATCTTTATTTTATTATTGTCCAGATTAGACTGGTGCAAATGTCTGTGTTTTTAATATGAATAACATTATTTTAAAAGACTAGAATCTGTCCTCTTTTTGGTTTAGTCTTTTGCTGTAAATGTTTTGATAAATCACATTTGTTTTAGTTTAAGAAATGGGGAAAAACCTAAATATTTGGTGACATTTTAAATTCCCAACAAAGGTTGATGGGAATCAAAATTAGTCCTTTGTAACTCACCTAATTGGAGTTGTAAAAATTTGATTTTTTAAATTGCATATTTTAAAATTTCATATGGATGCACAGGAAATAAACATGTAATAAGTTCAATGTAGTTTGGTATAAAAACATCCAAATGTAACACCTGTATGTCAACAAGAACAACAAAATAAGAGCACAAAAACTGACTGTGCTTCCAGTCTTTTGTTTTCCACCGTGCTTCCTTCATTGGTGCAGGGAGCAGCCCTACTGGGAGCATGTTGCCCCAAGCCCTGCGTCCATCCTGGCGGACTTTGTGCACACATTCGCCTAACCTAAGCTGACCCAGGAGGGCGGCTCCCTCCAAGGCTTCAGAGGCGCTGGCAACGTAAAAACAACGTAGACGAGGCGCAGAGAGGCCGTCTGCATGTGCAGCGGCGCCTTCATTCACACACACACACGCTTTGAAATAGTAGGGAAAACGGTTGCCATGGAAACCTCCTGTCAAGTCAGCAAACCGGGAGGAGGGTTACAGCAGTCCATCAGAGATAAGCTCATAATTTTTCCATCTCCTAGCTAGGCTTTGTGTCTGGCTGCTTACACACAGGCCCATGTGGATTATTGAGTTTGAAAGCCAGAATGTCGCGGTTACACGAGGTCAGTGAACACCACACACACTGTGATGAGGTGCACTGAAAGGCAACAGCCGAAAGTGGTGATGATGTGGGACATTTTGGCTCTCAGGGAGGGTTTTTTTTTTTTTAATTATTATTATTTTAAAGTGAAGAGAGCAAAAGAAATAAAGAAAGAAAAACTGAAGACACGTTTTAAAAATGTCAGTAGCAAATAAGTTTTACAGATGTTATGGTGACCTCAGAGTTTCATCAGGTCCTGTTGCTCATTCACAGCTCTAGTTTGTAAAACCCGACTTGCTTAGGAAACTAAACAACACAGTAAGTTACTGTTTTTTGTGTGAATTTCAGAAAATGGAGAAAAACTACGAAACAGTTTGGATGAGGAACTGCAATTCAAGAAAGACACAAATTTTGCCAGTCCATCACAGGTGCTGGTGCAAAATTTTTATTTTTAAAAAGTTTACACCAGCCGATTAAAAATAATTATAATAATTAAAAATAATATTTTATATTGTAATTTTCCTACAGTAGAAAATATTAAGCACAATGCAAAAAGTTAACCAACTTTTATCTAATTTACTTAACTTGGCTAAATATTGCAAGTGTTTTTGAAAGAAAGTGGCTCAGATCTTTTTCTTATAAGCAGAATAAATTTGTTCAAACAAGCCCAAAAGAATTTGAAAACTAAATTAAATTTCCTTTACAAGGGAAAATGTGCAAAATCCTTTTAAAGTTTTGGATTGTTTCTATAACTATAACTGCTTGATTTTATTTTAATGTATTACAATTTTATTTTATTTTTTTTACATTTTTATTACTATAATTTTGGCCCACATGACAAAAAGTTTGAACACACCTTCTCTAAAGAGTATTAGAAAGTAAATTAGCTAGAATTGTTTGAATATGCGCTTTTTGTTTATCTTTTTTAATCTAAAACATGAAACGGAACCAAAACGCAGTAAAAGTCGGCAGGTGTTGATTTAGTCAAGGAATGTTAGTTTTGGTACAGACTGCATGTTTTTGGTAAAAAAGAAACTGTGCTACGTTGATGTCATTAAACAGTAAAACCAGTAGAAATAATGCTGGTTTCCTTAATCAGACGCTTGATCAATCTTAGCCAGGCTTTAGTTAATAACGCTTTTGTGAAGAACTTTGTGTGGGCATGAAATCCATTGGTCACGATTGCTCATAAAACCAACAAGCTGCACTTTGCATGACAGAGTTGTGGACACAGTTTGCTGCTTGACTTGTTGGAACAAGCTCCAGATGATTTGGCTGCAATCTTATCTTTTCTATTCAAAGGATCTGGGATTTGACTGCCATACCAGCTGCACAAAGACTCCCATTCAAAGTTAGAGCTGTGATTAGGATTTTGCTTTGCGTGTTGCATCTCATCAGTTAACATGGCAACACCCATAAGTTACATGCATTTCATACAGCCAGTTCTTGTTTTGCAGAGTTAGGTTAGAAATGAAAAGAAACAACGTGGGTTTAAAATTAGGACTGGGCAACATGGCTTAGAAATAAATTCTGATCCAAATCTGACTTTAATTCCTCTCTTTCTTTACTTTATAAGAAATTGCAAATTACTCTACCCTGTCGGGAAGTGAACCTGAATTCATTTGGACAGCTTCTGTCCAAATAAACAGAAGCTGTAAAACAAGATTGCAGATTCTGGGCAGAAATCCAGCTTTTCCAAAAATTAAATGTTCATTAACAGGAAATTAATAACCATTTGAAAATCAACATTTATTGTTCTACATTTGTAGAACAAGCAGCCGTTCGGCTTATGAAGCAGCTAATTTTCACATATCATCAGTTTGGTTTGGCCACCTTCTTCTTTAATGAATGAGATTCTGATTTAAAAACCATCTTCTATTTGTTAAAAAAGCAAGAACAGAATAAATCCATAGGTTGGAGCAAATACTTCCACCACAGCACTGCACGTTAAGCTCAATTTTTGAGACACTTCCTTACCATTTTGATAGGAATGCAGGCCAGGTCTCCATCTGTGACGGGCGTGTCGTCGCTCTCCATGACATAAATGCCCTTTCTGGACAGAGCCTGGATGACCGACAGGTGGGACTGAAGCGACGCGGCCTGCTCGGTCTTCAGGATGAGAGCGCACACACGGCAGTAAAGCTCGCAGGACAGAAGAAGACGGATGACGGGGGGCTTGATGTGCTCCTGGTCGTACTGGTCTGTGTAGAACGGGTCCCGCAGGTCCTCTGGAATATGGCCTGCAAGGGAAAGAATCTGGGTTTAGGTGACGGAGGTGGCTCTTAATGAAGCTCTAAAAGAGGAATGTGAAGTGCCCCATTTTAAAACTCAACTACTCACATAGTTTAATATGATAACAGTTTGTAAGCAATGGGGTATGTACACTTTACCCACAATGAAATTCAAGAACTTTTCAAACTTTTCCAGCATAATTGAGATAAAAATAAAACAAAGGAAAAAAAGAGTTTCAATTCACTATTATGTAATATACGAGTTATTTTTTAGTGACAATATTCTGCTTCTGTAGCAGGGACACTTACAGCAAATAGAAATCCTTTTTGGAATTCTAACTAACCTAAAATAAGAGAAGTTTAAACTAATTTAACTTTAGACTGAGAAAAAAAAGTGTCTGTTTCTTTCTTAGTTGGAAAAAAAAAAAATCTGGTTTCAACTGTAAAAGTTTTTTTTTTTTTTTTTTTAAATTTAGGCTTTTAACCAAACATTGGATTGCATTTATTACAAAACTGCGCAGTTTGAATATCAAACACTTTTCAAACTTTGAAAACACCCGCAAGCATTTTCAAAGATTTGAAGCACCTGTGTGAACCCTGAAGGAAGTAGGAAAATGTGTATTATTGGTGCCAGGCAACACAAAAGCATCTCTATCTCCAAATCATGATACGTGTAATATTTGTTCTAGGTTTGTTTACTGCGAGTAAACGGAGCTCTTTGTAACTATAAGTGAGTGTGTTGCTTTAAGAGTAGCTTGGGCCGCAGATCCTGCTAATCCAAGGCTGCTCAGGTGACGGCACACTTTGCCAATGCTTACTTAAAGTTGGAGCCACAAGGAGGAAAACTGTGACTAGTTCTGTTACTCCAAATGTGAGGTCATTCTCAAAACCAGACGCCACTGCCTTACAAGGGCACAGAGCAAAGCAGCAGCGCAAACCAGATTTATCCTGAAGGTAAGCCACATGTTTAAAATAAAAAATCCTTCCAACTTCCAGCATAAAATGGTGTGGCAGCAGAAATAACCCTGTTTCTGTTAAACCTGTTTAGATTTCTGCCAGAGATGTGATAACACAGCGAAAGCTGCATGTGTGTGTATGACGAGTTCCTGGTTTTCACACTGTGAAGGCAACGAGAAACCTTCTCATCAGCAACCTGCAGGTCAAATACTAGAGAGCAAGCAGGAAGGGTAAAGAGAAAAAAGGGAAAAAATTAAGTATAATTAAATCCCAAAAGCTATCAAATGGTAACTTGGAGGTAAATATGTGTGTACACACAGCTTTTAGCATTTGCAGATGTGACCTAAAGAGTTTGGATTTTCAAAACAGATGCACCAATCAGGATTTTTCTGGATGATACCGACTTGATTTTGATCCATTTTTAAATCTGATTGGAAAAGATGTGCTGCGGGTTACTTTACACAGGTAATACTTTTGAATCAAACAGAAAACAATGAAGGATCTGCAAGATTCTCCACATTTATCCATTAAAGGAAGCTAAAAGAAGCAACAATTGCATAATATAGGTGCATGCATCTATAGATTTAAAAAAAAATTAAAATAAAAAAAGAAACCCCCAAAAAAGACTGATTTATGGAAGAAATTTTTATTTATTTATCCCATAATCAGAAATCTCTGACAATCCAAGTGTTTTTTACATTTTATATAAAAAATGTTCACCAACAGAGCAGCAAAACAAACCAGAAATTTTTACAGCTCACTTCTTAAACCAATACCCGAGTGGAAATGACCAAAACGCTGCGTGATACACCGCTTACAACACTCGGTTACAACGTTCATGCAGCACACTCAACGTAAAATGGTAAATAAAGCATGAGAATTACTCTCTGTACATTTTGTCCACATATGATGAACTGAAAACTTAAATGCAAATAAAACGAGAACCAGTGCTCGACTGCTCCAAATTTTAACTTGCTCAAACCCTATGCAAAGAATCTCAGCAGAAAAATAGGAGTTTATTTAAAAATATAGCCGTATGATATTAGTCATAATGATTTCTTATATCAAAAAACTATATCATAAGAAAGATGCTACTAACAAATGCCTAAAAAGGTATTTTAACGTAAAAGGTTTCAGGGTTTTAAAGTTCTTCTGACTTGTTTTTCTTTCTGTTCTTCTCAGTGTACTGTCTTAGGAAACGCAACTTAAAAAGCTCTTAAAGGCTTTTGGTTTAATGAAGCAATTCTCTAGTGCACAGAAGATTTGTTGCGAGAACAAATGGTATTAATTTAAAGGGAAATCTCATCATAATTAGCCGAGCAGCAACTGTTATAGTACCTTTAAGCTCGGGTCATTTTTCTGTCCCCATATACAAAAATCGACAACAGTTTTGCAACACATGATTAAACATTTAACCCAACAGTTTCTGCCATTCCTGGAGTGAATGAACATCATGACAGTGGGACTTATTGTGGCAGAAAACAAAGAGGTCTTGCCGTTGGAGTTTATTCTCCAGACACTGATGTCATGTGGCAGCTGACCCCGCCTTCCTGCAACCCAGGGCAGGCTAAAAAACACACCAACTGGGGTGGGGTGGAGCATCATGATGGAGCCTGGCAACAACAGCCAGGATGCTGTAGATCACACACAGCCAACCGTGACCGGTGCCACACCATAATCTGCACCAGCAGAAGCAGACGGAGGGCTAATGACCTGCCTGCGAGCGCGACTGGTCCTCACCGTCAGGCATAGTCAGCTTCCAAGGCTGGGATCAGCTGCGACACAGCCAGAGGATTCACATCTGCCGGAAACGGCACAAGCCAAACAAACAACCGTGCAGTATTTGCATCGTAGCAGACCCCATATGAGCCGTCTGGGGACTAGAAAACAGGACTAATTTATTAAGTTCCCATGGGAGGAAGGCAATTGCAGGTACACCTGAGAGTCGTTTCCCTCTGGGCGTCCGAAGCACGACTATGCTGCAGCGTATCATTTTTGTCTGCAGGAAGATGCTGCCATTATCCATCTATATCATTACCAAAAGCTCATGATGGCTGACAACAACAGAACCAAGTAAAGCCTTAATGAACCCTGAAGGAAAAACAAAAAAGTTTTCTATCCCAATCCTGTTTACCTTAAAAACTCCAATTCTACTGCCATTTTTTAAGTGAATGCTTCAGTGACATTTGGAAATCTGTATAATGATCATAACAAACCACAGAGTATGAAGGAGAGCTTAATGGCGTACGATCTGACCAGAGATGATGCTGATGTAACAGACATGCAAAGCCTGAACTCAGGAACTGATGCATCAGGCAGCAAACAAAGCTGCACTACTCTGTAGGGCTGAAACGATTAATCAGATTAACAGTGATTAATCGACTTGAAATAATCCTCAACTAATTTAGGAATCAATTCATTGTTAACTGGAGAATACAGAGTAAAAAAAGGCCATTTGATGAAAGATCAGTAATTTACCAAAACTGTACAAGCGGTTTAGTTTTAGCTCCACTCGGTTCAGATTCTTAAAAAAGGAAAAGAAATCTCATATTGTGCATGTTTTGCTTTCCAATCATTAATCAGTTAATCCAAAAAATAAACAGATTATCCTTACATCGATGTTAAGACAAGCAGAAAGAGCTGAGCTTTTCACATGTTGGAAGTATTTTTTCTTTTTCTGGCTGCAGATGCATCACCTGCTACAAATGATAAAGCACACACTAAAGGAATGCTACGTCACTGCATATTAGCCAACAAAATGTTTATTTTCTTATTTAAAAATTAATTGATTCTGGTTTTTTGCATTTTAATCCATTTCTAACACTGTATTAAAAAGGTTGAAGTGGTTAAATGAAAAATGCAGAATGTGATGAATTTCTTTTGGCAATTTCTTTTAGCAATTGAATAAATCAATTGCTAAAATAATTGTTCGCTTGTAGCCCGACTACTTTGACAACATATACTTTACAATACATTTATGTGCAACAACAAATTCACCGTACATAGTCAAAAATGTCAAAGAATGCCCAGAAATTCTGTCATTTCTTGTGTTGATGCAAGAAAGTTAATATTTAGAGTAAGATGGCATTTTCTCCAGTGAGGACAGGAGAAGCAGAAAGAGATGTTCCTTGGACATCTAACAAACCGGCAATGTAAGGAGATACTTAAAAGCACTGAAAGATACGTCTGGACTTTGTTCATTTTTCCCAGTAGTGAAAGGCTAATGACAACTGTAACTCACACCCTAACATTTTGTCATAATTCAGGTAGTCATCAAAACATTTGCTCCAGTTTCCATCACACCAGCACTCCCATTTCTCTCATCACCATAACAGTCTAAAATTATATTAGTGAGCTGTGCAGGGCTTGTGTAAGCCTCACTTTTCTCCACATAATGATTCATGAGGATAAAGCTACACTACACATCAGATTTTGAAAAAAAAAAAAAAAACAACCTCTTTGAATACTCATTAAAATCTAATCCCAAAATAAACTTACTGTTTTTTCTTACTCTACTAGTTGCTTCACATCTTTATATTGTAGTCAAAGACACAAAACACTTTTTGACAGAACGTCTGCAGGTTATGAAATCCACATCTATCAAATATAAAGTGTCTGTCAAAGAGAAGAGGGAGGGAGTGAAGGCCCAGTCCCAAACAGCACCAATATGAGCCATCAATACAACAATAAAACTAATGAGGCGGTGCAGAGCGACGAACATAAATAAGAAAGCAAAAAGAGAAGAGGATGAAACCTGAGCAAAAAACTAGGTTTGAAAGGAAAGTATTAAGGCTGACATCGATAATTAACTATGGGCAACACTATGGACTGGATATCCTGTACAAACTTGTCACAATAAGCAATGATTAATCACATTATAAGTTAAAATTATCTCAATAATTTCCATTCTGACCATTAACATTTTTTGAATAGCAATTCTGCTTACAGAGACATCATAATTCATTTTATTTATGGTCTTGGTTGTTTTTACTTCCGTTTTATTTGTCGTCTTTAGTTGTGGTTTATTTTGGATATTTAAAATATCTTCAAGTTGTAGAGTTAAGCGTTCTCTATAAAGTTTGTTGATATTTGAGGGGCGAACTTATTAATATATTATTTAAAAATGGTATAAACAACAACATTATTGTTTATCTCAATAATTACCGGAACAATATAGTAACCAGCAAATTTTTTATTGCAAAAGGCCTATTCTTGTGAGATTAAAGAAACGTCACAAAGCTTATCCTGAATTACTTTTAAATTAAATCTGACGTTTTCTGAATGCCAAGTCCCCTGATCAAGCAAATTATGACTTATAGTCTCTTAGCTTTAAATTTTTCCTTCCCTTAAAACTGGTAACATTCTTGGATTTCCACTCAAGTGTGTTTGAGGTGAAACTAGCATCATCTAACATAAAGGTCCTCTTACTAACACAGGCAGCTTCAACAGGGAGTGTGAGCGACGTGATGTGCAGATGAGTATTTTCCATCCACTGAGCACAGTGTAACAAATATAGATTAAGCATCAGTGACTGTCCCTCCGTCTGATTTAAGTTCAATCTCATTGGCCATCCGACAAGAACGCACAGATCTGGTGAGTCAGTGAGCGAGGTTTCAGCTGCCATTGGGGAGTTGGTGTTAGGATTACATGTGTGTGTTTTAGCTTTCTTTCTGGCTTTTCCTTTAATTGTGTTTTTCTGCTGAAGCACCAAACAAACTGCTGACTGAGTGTGTTGAGAATGTTAAGTTTCAACAGCAAAATACTTACTGTTAAGATGAGAAAAATAAATTGCAAAAAGGTTCGTCACAATAACAAATTTAGCTGTATCATAAAATATCCTAAAAGTTATTGAGATAAATTATAATATTTATTGTTGTTTTGGAACCATTTTTACAAGACAATCGATCAATCAAATTTTATTTGTGTAGCATATTTCAGCTACAAGGAAGTTCAAAGCGTTGTTTTGGCTGTTTCTTCTGTTCCAGAAACTGAATGCAAGTAATATAATGCACGTACATATTCTCAAACATCAGTAGACTTTCATTTTGAACAAACTGTTTACATTGGAACTGGATGATCTTTTAAATACCCAAAATAAATAAAACAAATATAATGAATACTGAAGCCTCTGGAAGCAAAATTACCCATCAAAAAAAGAGGTTATTTGAGACCAATGTACCAAACTGAAGACTTTTGTCATCCAGTCTTTAGCAAAAGAAATGGGAATGATCAAGCCTGTTTTAATTTCTCATGTAATTTACTGATTTAGTGCTTACTACAGTTTTGTTTCATACTCTCTGGTGTAAAATATGTCACTTGATAAGACTGTAAGACTGAAAATACAGATTTCAGGTGACCAACGCAGTTGCCAGTAATTTCCAAATACAAAAACTATGAGCGTTTGTGAGGAAATTATTGGAAATCAACTTACCAATGCCGTAGGCTTTGGCAAAAAGCCACCGCAGGTTTGCAGCTATTTTTGCTCTGGCAGAGTCATACATCTCCAAAGGTACTACATCCATTGTGCCGTCTGCAGCCACCGGTAACTCCGGTTTCTTCCTGGTACCGTCCCCGCCGGCGCACAAGTCAACATCCATCCTTAAAAATAAATATAGCAACAAAATGAAGCTGAATATGTTGGGAAAAAAAGAGGGGTTGGTCATTTTCCTACTCCGTTATTTGGTGCTTTTGCAGTTTAGGTTTATCTGTACTGGGCAACTTTGTACTTGCCACTTGAACATTTTGTACTCGTTTTGACAACTGATGATTAAAAGTTATATTCTTTTGTCTGCGTACATTATTCTTAAGAGAATGTGGTTATCTTACTAAAAGGTAAAACCAAGTACCAGCAGGAGGTCTAAAGGAATTATTTTTGGTTTAACTTGTCATTTTGTAAGAGTGAATTGATATCAAATGGGTGTAAAAAAGATGTGAGATCCAAGTATTGTTCTAATTATTTATCTTTCTAGTTCTCTGACAATATCCAACTGCCAGGAGAAATAAACTAATACATAATTAAATGACAAAGTGCATAAATGAAATGCAGGTAAAAGTTGGCAGAGGGACAAACTGAAGCAGAGCAAAATGCTATTTTCTAATAGTAAAAGTGTGATTAAGTGACAATGTATCCAAATAACTTTTTTCCCCTTTAAAGTTTTTTGTTTCCACAGTGACACATGGCAAAACTTTGATTATACAGTAAACGCCTGTCTATGACACACATGGCATTTAAGTCAGGTGTTAGTAAAAGCACTAAATACCAAAAACAGTTCTAAATGTAGCATATAATCATGTCTACCATGGAAGGCATCTGTGGATCATAATACAAATCAACCCACACAATATCTGATAACTGTATTGAATTTGAGACAATAGCTAGATTGTGTTTTAAGTGTGGACCAAAGTAAATCAAAGAAATCCTTCTGACAGGTGGCAAAGCAAAAAATTTTAGTTTAAACTAAAAGCTTGAACTATTCATTTTTTTCCATTTAAATAATTTGCTTTCAAATGTAAAATCTGTACAGATAATCCTCAAAAATTATAAAAAGTTAATTACGGTACACACATTACATAGAGTAGTGCCTCAAGTTAATATTTCTTGTAAATTTTACAGATGTTGTTAAATACCCCAAATTCAGTTTCTAGGAAAATCTCACCAAAAAAAGAGAACTTAAGGACAATTGAGCAAAAGCCTTGTCCTCTTTAGCATCAATTAATTCAACCTCAGCCCAATTTGTGAATCTATCCTAAACTTAAATATATTTTCTTTTTGCCTAGTCAAAACTGCTTGTGCACATTTTTTTAACCAATTTTGTCCTTCCACTCCACTTTCCATTAATATGCTCAAATACAGCACTCTGAGCAGACAGTGTAGGGTGCAGTCTTTTTCTGCATAGCTGAGATGCACCTGCGAATTCAGTTATTCACCATGCTTGTGTTTCTGGTTTACAACAATACAGAGATGTCAGTTTTAATTTCTAAGCCAGTTTGATATCCTTGTCGGTTTTTTTTTTTTTTTTTGGAAATTGTGGCTTCAAATAGTTGAAAATGTAAAAATACTAACAGGTGAACGCAAAACAAAGTGGCTACCTTTACCTGTAACTAAGAGACATTATTTCATTGCTGAAGGTAAATGTTTTTCCTAAAGAAAAACAACAAAAGGACAAGGTAAACTAATATTAGCTTACCTTGTTTTATAACCTGTAGCGTTATCCTTGCGGTACTGCTTTATCACAATGAAACTATTAACGGCCTAATAATGGTTGGCTGAAACAGCAGGGTAGCTGCTATGTAAATTACAACATAATGATAATATGTTCATGTTACAAAGACCTAATTTACAAGCAACAGTCATTAGCTGAAAATGAATATTGGCTGTAAACTGGGTTAGCAAAGCGGCTGAGCATGCAAATAAATAGCGGCTAACAAATCCCAGCTAACTGTTAGCTTGCTAATACAACAGCCCCCCCAGCATTCACTGGAGCCATGAATGACGTTAGCAGGAGAGAACATTACCTTGAAAGGTGCTGCGTATTTCCAAATCACCCTTTAGGTACAGCAGGGTTACACAACCAATTAGCCAAAGACCTGTCTCGTTGTAACGTGGTCTGCTGTGTAGAAAATACAGCAGCCGCAGACACGCATCGTAGCCAGCTAATAATAATGCTAGCAAGGAGGGAGGTGAGTCTGTGTGGTCTCCTCCCAGCAACAGAATCCGATTCTCGGCCTGTGTGACAACCGCTCCGCGGCAGACTCACAGGCGAAGCAGACGCCAGACAGAAGCAGTAAAAATGCGACGAGACTCTGGTTGAAATAAAAATAAAATAACAAGAGCAGGTAATCTCCTGATTATAAACCTATCTCTGTATTAAACGCTTCATGGTAGAGAGGAGACACACGCATCCCGCGGTGTGTTCGCGCTCTGCCCATGGAAATAATTTTCATCCCTGCCTTTCTAAATGAGAATGCTGCGCATGCGTGATTACCTTCCAAACTGTCAACAGTAAAACGGTGACAACGAACATTTTCGGTTTATATTCTCCAAAAATATGTATGTTTGTAAATGTATTAAAATTTGGGGGGACAAACGTTCTGTCAACCTTTATCTTAAAATTGTATTCACTTTGGGGGGGGGGGGGATCACTTTTCCAAGTAGATGTCAAAATTGACTTTAATCAATGCTGACATCTAGTGGAGAAATGTGGTATATACACTTCAGTCGGTGAGATGATTTAGTAAGCAGCACTGATTGCTGTTTATGATTTTTGAAAAACTGCATTTTCGTTGTTTTATACCATAATGACATGTACATAATGACAGTATCATTTAATCCTTCGGCTGTTAGTTAAGGACATTGTTTAATAAATACAATTTAAACTCTGCACTGAAAAGGATAAAACTGGGTATTAGTAAGAAATTTTTACTTGATAAAGTTTAAACCCGTGCTATGCTAAATTTCTTCAGGCGTAGAGATATTTGTTGGCTTGCCATGCTCAAAACCCTTTTAAAAAACATTTCTTTATTCCAGTAGCGTAATTTCACACTAAGAAAATAATCCAATCAATAAATATTTGTATAACACTTTGTTTCTTGCTAAACTCACCTTGAGGATTTGTTGTTGAGAAGCGCAATCTTAGTTTCCTCTGCAAGCAAAAAGTTCCACATATATTCCCAGTAGAGCTTAGCATGTTTATGTTTTTTCTACAATAGTGAGTTTTGGAGATTATCTTCTCCTCGTGTCCAGCTTCCAAATACCATACGGACCAAAACAAACTACGTCACATTTATTGCTCAATGAAACAAAAGTCAGAGATCAATTAGAGGTTTCTAGAAACTTAAATTTGTCTGTAAAAGCAGATAAATTTGGTGCTACAAACTAAATACACACACAGGCCACACTTTTAATGTAAAAAAATGCAAAAACAATGTATCTTTTTTTAACTTTGTAATTATGCATTCCATTGCGTAGGTCTTTTAAGGGCTACATATTATTTTGAAAGGCACAGCACTTTAAGTTTGTACTTTATTATGTTTGCAACACTGATCTTTATTGTTCCCCAAAACAAAGCCGCCACATAAACCGACTCCAAACAGAATCCAACGAGCAAAGCCACAGAACAAATTAACTTTAATGTGAGAGTGATTTAGATGTCAGTAGCCTTGTGGCTGCTTGAATGAACAGACACTCAATAGATTGCATAGGTTGTTGATGTGGGACAGTCTTGCATGACATAGCAGAGCAGAAATAGCTGGTAACCTCAAAGATGTTTTGCTTTGTTCATTTAAATTCCAGATGAATGTTTGGAAATGTTCTCTCTCTCTTAGTTTTGGTTTGTTTTCTTTATGAGCAGAATCTCTCAATGTACAGTTCTCAGCAGCTCTACACATCAACCCGCCCTGTTCAAACACCACTTGAAATCACACCTTGACCCACAATTTTCATAAGAACATCTCTAAAACGACGTAAAAACAACCTTTGAAGCATTTCTCTTTTTACATTTGGAGCGCAGCTTCGAGGTTTGCTAAAACTGTTAGAAATAAGACCAAGTTACGAGTTTGGCTTTGATATAAATAATGTAATAAAACACAGTTCAAACAGACACTTCTCTCCAAAAACATTTAAATATCTTCTTTTTTTCCCATTTTTTGTTAAATATTGCATGTCTTGATGTTGCAGTCTGAAGAGATTTGCTAAAGCCAAACTAACATCGGTTGAGCAGGGGTTTGCCATGACAACAATCTAAGCCTCCCTGAGCAGAAAGTCACATCAGTACTACATTTTAAATATAGAATAAAAACACTCAAAAGCTTGGCAAAAAATAAAAATAAAACAACCAACACCGCCCTCCATATTGTTTTTTTTTTTAGTAGAACTACAAGAGGCAAAGAGTTCCAACTTTTAGCTGGAGATTTTGAGTACTCAATGCAAAGGCTAACATTGTAAAACACTCTAACCCTTTCAGTTTAAACATCACTAATACTCATATCAGATACATATCTTTAAGTCTTTACTATTGCACAGAAATACAGATTTTCTCCCCTCTTCATTGGGTAGAACTAGGGACAAGGCATGAAATACAGGAACATTTTGGTTTGGTTGACAGCATGAAGTGTTCCTTGCTCTCTGAAGGAAACTGGAGACCAAAACTGTGTTTATAAAGACGCTTGTGCCCCAGCAGCGTGATTCAAACGCATTGTCATTCAAAGATTCAAATTAAAGGTTTAAAAGGCAAACCCCAGCCCCACGTTTTGATCAGGCTCAGCTTCATTTACTGTCCCACTCCAGACAATCCATGATTTGACTTCGTCTGTGCCGCAGTGAGCAGTGTTCGAAGAGGTGAACAAGTGCTAAAGAAGCGCAGATATAGTGACATTCAAGTCCACATTGACAACAAACACACAGGCCGACTGTAGCATACTGTTGGAAAATCAGGACCGACACAACTTAGAGTACGAGGTCTCTGAAAAGGCAAAAAAAAGTTTTATGTTCGCAGACGACAGAAGTTTTCCTCTTAATAAGTGAGAGGTGTACGACTTACAGTGATTTACGGGTGTGAACGGAGAGGTAATGTATAACACAGAACCGCTCAGAAGTTTACATGCACTCATCACTGGCCTGAATGTCATTCGTAATATTGGACTTTTAAAGATTGTCATTCCTTTTCCACAGTGGGATGAAGATAAAACCAACAACCGTTTTAATTTATTGTTTATTTTATGTAATCTAAACTGTTTGAAACATATAAATAAATCTCACCTAACAGTAAATATGTTGTCATTAACAAGCTTCTGAATCGTTAAAAATTTGTTTGTTTACTGGCTTTTAAACAAAGCCAGGAAACTATAAATATTGTATTCATAGTTGGGGGCTGGGTTTTAGAAATAATCTTCATTTTAGCCAGCTAACTATATTCTTAAGACCTTTTTTAAAATGTTTGGGATCATTATCCTGTTAGGAAACCTAAGTTTCATCCATGTGACCCAAAATGTTACCATTAAAATAAAGGAATCCATTAGGATCTTCGGGAGCAAAACAGACACCAGAAACAGCTGAAAAACCAGTTTATGGACTTCAGTAAATGAAGTTTTGGTGTGGAATAAGAAAGAAATCCCTTCTCCAAATTCAACACAATTGTAGCTGCCTGCACATTGTCTCCTGATTCAACACTGTGAAGTAAAACAATACAAAGACTGAGCTGTTTGGCCACAAAAAAGATGCTTAAAGGAATTCAAACCAAAGCACATTAACAACTGTCAAAAATAGTGGTGGCCACATTATGCTGTGGGACTGTCTCACTGTCTAATAACTAAATTACTCTAAATTCAACAGCTAGATAGTTGAAACACACTTTAAAATTGGTTTTGGAACAGGTAACGCAAAATTATATATTGGACGTCCTACAACCCTTTTGGAAAATGTGTGAATTAAACTTAAAAAGCTGAGCTGTGCCTTCAAACCAAACCATCCATTTTCTTTACACCCTTGTCCCTAGTGGGGTTGGGAGGGTTGCTGGTGCCTTTCTCCAGCTAACGTTCGGGGCGAGAGGCGGGGTACAACCTGGACAGGTCGCCAGTCTGTCGCAGGGCAACACAGAGACAGACAACCATGCACACACACATTCACACCTAGGGACAATTTAGACAGACCAATTAACCTGACAGTCATGTTTTTGGACTGTGGGAGAAAACCAGAGTACCCAGAGAAAACCTACGCATGCACAAGGAGAACATGCAAACTCCATGCAGAAAGACCGGGGCCGGGAATCAAACCCAGAACTTTCTTGCTGCAAGGCAACAGCTCTACCAACTGCACCACTGTGCAGCCCTCAAACCAAACCAATTTAACCAAATTAACACTAAAAAAATCAATCAGTTATGACAAGAAAAGAGAAGCTTCTTTTATAGCTGCAGGAAACATGTGGTGAATACACAAATATGTATTTTTATTTGGATCTTCTTTAGACGAGAGAAAATCCACAAATAATTCAAATAGTTTTTTAATAACTGCATTTTTATGTTAAAACTATTGAGGAAAAATTATGAAAAGCACAAGATTATTCCGACATTCATGCCAGTGATGAGTGTGTAAGCGCCTGAGCAGAACCGCGTCTGAAAGCTCGTTTTCAAAGAGCTTCGTGAACGCTCAACTCCAACAACAACCTGAACTCCTCCACACATTCATTAATAATGAAATGTAACATTTTAAAGAAACAGAGAAGACTGTTATATTTAAATATTGCAAATCATACAAAAACTGTTCTTTAAAGTGTAAACATTAAATTGATGCCTGATGTAATTTCTTTACATGGAGAAATGATATAAAATAAATCATGTCTGTCATATCTGTAAATTGTTCTTATGTAAAAACAACATATTAAATCTCAATTTATATTACCACTGTAATAATAATAATAAGAATAATAACATTTGTTTTGTATAGGCGTTTTACTGTATTGTTATAAATAGTGTAACATTTTAATTCAAACTTTTAACTCCTCTGGCTTTTTCTTTACAAGGCAGAAAAAAAGAAAAAAAAACCCCAGTAAACTCTATTTGTGTCACATCCATACACACATTTCCTGGTATGATCATACATACACACAAGCTGCAACAATCACACGAGGGTAATCAGGAGGCTCTATGTGCGATTGAGGGTCTGGAAGATTCTGGATATTTGGAGCATGACCGGGCCGGTCTCAGGGTCGTTCATCCACTGGGTGCTGTTCAGAGGATTCTCCAGCATGTCTTCAAACGCTGCACAAAAACAAACAAGAAAAACACATGACATGGTTATCGAACTCCCCTAGAGTTTAAAATGTCACGATGGTTTATGACAAATACTGAGATGCCACATTATGAGCTGGTGCTTAGCGGGCAACTTCCTGTACATTTCCTCAAATCTAACTGTCATCTAGAAATTCCCTTTATATTTTATATTTTGGTCACACTTAAATGGTTCAGATAGTCACACACAATTTAACATAAGACAAAGATCTTCTGAAAAACGGATTTTCATCAGTGTCATACTGGAATATACCTAGCAGAGTCTTGGGATTCGTTAGACCCAACTGGACCACAGGGTTTTCCAGAATCGCTTGAAACAGAGGGCTGTTGGTGTCGATGCCTTTATCTAGATCTTCTGGAGATGGTTTCCTGTCTCCCAGCAGCCACTCGCACTGCAGAATGAAAAAACAGAAACACAGATGTGTAAAAATTACATTTTACAAGATAACCCAAAATTAATAAATCGATAAAGTTTCCACAAACACTAAGTTTGATCACTAATTTTGAGTATAAAACAATCGTAATGTAATATATAAAAGGTAATAAAAACCATTTTATGACAAAAAAAGTAAATATTGAAATAAAACCACACACACTTGTAAAATGCAAACCATTTTTAAACTAGTAGGGAAACATGTTATTTTTTGCAGTCTTAATTTGTAATCTGTGGAATAAAATTAACTCCAATATTACTCCTTCTTAAGGTAGATTTAGATTTGAAATTATTTCTTACTTTTATCTGTTCACCAAATTCAATCTGACAGAGAATCTGTGGGGTCAGCTAAAAATTAGGGTGATGGCAAAGAGGCTTTCCATCCTCATTAACAAAAATAAATTGTCAAATACCAGTGGAAACAAGCCAAAAACCTGGTCAGTAAGTATAAGGGATTTTCACACCGATTATGAGAAGGTGCATAAAAATGAAACTGCTTTTACAGTGTTTCATGCAGATGTCATTTCCTATCAGAAGCAAACTTAAAATTAATGTGCCTATGAAAAGGAGGATAAATAATTGGGGGTTTAACTTAATTTGAAACAGTTAACTTTAAATGTTTTGTTTTTCATTAAAAACAACTGTAAAGCTCTAGCTATAAAACTATCAACTTATTCAAATAAAGAGAGGAATGAGAAGCTTCATGAACAGTGTGGTTCTCATTTGTTGATTTTTTTGTCTTCTTTAGTTTCTCACTGAGGGATAATCATGTAAATATGAACAAAAAATAACAGCACAGGTTTCGTCTCGTATGGGAACTTTGCATAATAACATTGTTGGTACTCCAGCGAAACAGCAGACACTGATTGAGATAACACCACGGTTTATGTAATCACCTACCGCTGCATCTTGTTGGTTATTATTCACTCTGAGAGCATCAATCACCTCCTTTTCATCAAAGCCCATCTCCATCAATGCAATCACAGCCTGGAGAATCAAAGACTTGGTGTAATTATTGGACAAACAATTTTTAGAAACATTAACAGAGCCTTAAAGAAAAGAAAAGGAAAGAAAAGAAAAGAAAAGAAAAGAAAAGAAAAGAAAAGAAAAGAAAAGAAAAGAAAAGCCACAAGCTTATATTTTTAAATGTAAATGTTACATAAAAGCACTGACCCTGGAGTCTGGCCTGAACTCCCTTTTCCTGCGTATTCTCTTGAAGATCTCTGTGAGTTCGTCCTGCCGGCTGCTCTCGTCGGAGCTCGATTGCCTTGAGAGGTTGGAAAGAATGTTAGCTGAAGCGGAGGCTGAAGCCGAGGGGCCCGTTATCGTCGCTGCTGCGGCCCCTGATGCCCCGGAGGAGTCCTGTCCCGGTAGTGGTGCATCCACAGTGGGGTCATCTATGTGTTCGATCAGCCACTCCATGGCCTGGGTTACCGACATGCTGCAGGGAAATAAAGGAAAAAGTAAATAAGTAAATAAATAAATACAGGGTGCGTGCTGAAAAATAATGCTGTTCTGAACCCAAACTTTATTTAAAGGGGCAGTATTATGACTTTTTCCAGGCACAAAGCGCTATTTTATAGCAGAATCAAGTAACTATATTGCCTTCAGTTGTTAGAAAAATGCTGTAATAAATCAAATATGAGTTAAAAGAAATTTGACTTTGTAATTTAACGCTTTGAAATTGGGCCTCTGTCTTTTTAAAAGCTCCTTTCTGGAACTTCAGGAAGTCATCACAACGTCGCTCCTCTATTAACCCTTTAACAACGTTTTTAGCAGCGCTTCACTGAGAAGTAGGTCGCATATTGAGCTCAGCTGATCCGCGGTTCTACCAGGTGTTTGCCAATCAACGCTGGCTAGTCTGAAGGAGCTTAGTGGGGGAGTCAAGATCTGTGAGGCCAAAGTTCAGATGCTTGGTGTGGAGCTGCACCTCAAAGGTGGAGTTAGGTCCAATCAGTCATTTCGCACATCTGTATGGTTGCCAAGGAGATTAAAGGATTTCTCAAACATACATCAAAGAATCAAAGTAACACTTATTGTTGATGAAGGAATAACATTATAACATCATGATGTATAACAAAAAAAAACCTTGGTTTTACAAAACACTGCCCGTTTAACAAATGAATAGATAAAGACCAATTACACATCAGCCTTACTGGCAGAGTCTAAGTGCTTTGATGGCTCTGCTCTCAGGGAAACCCATCTCAGTGAGCTGCTGGAGGGCCGTTTCATCCACATGATCCTCCTCATCTTCATCTAACATTGCTTTGATACAAAAAACAAACAATTACAGAAAGGCAGAATATCTCAGAACACAAAAATAAAGACTTCTGAAGCAACAGCACACACACAGTTTAGAAAAGATGAAGAAGAACTACAGTTTATAGTCACTTGTTATTAAAGAAGCCGACTGGAGCCTTTGGGACGTTTTCAATCAAAGGCAGAAAAGTCAACATAATCATTTTATTTTTCAGTGGCTGTAATCCTCTTCCGTACATCAATATGGTCAATGTGTGAGTGTTTAGTTTTCTTCTGTAAGGATTTCTCAAAATGTGTCCATTTTAAGACAGAAACATAAACTAAAATCTAAGCCTGTCGAAATAAGAAATTAATCAATTAATCACACGATAAATTACAATGAGCTTGATCATTTCCATTCTGATCATTAATATTTATTGAAGAGCAATTTTGTTTACAGAGACTTTATAATCCAGTTTTTACTCCCATTTTATTTATTGTTTTTAAATGTTGCATTTTTTTGACGTTGTCTTTAAGCAGAGTTATCAAATAAATTTGTAATTGAGTGTTTAAAGTAAAAGGTTTTAGTCCATTCAGCACTGTTTTTCTGTATCAGATCGGTATTAGCTGATTCTAAACCTCAGATATCTGTATTGGTATCGGAAGTGAAAAAAGTGGATCGGTGCATCCTCATCATAACTAGATATTCCTGCTTACCGTTGGCCTTTTTGAAGAGTTCAACAGCATCGGGGTTCAAGGCAAGAAGCTTCTGTGCAACTTCAATAAGAGAAACCAGGATTTTTCTAAGCTCCGTTTGAAACTGGAACAACACAAACACCAAGACACAAACATGTTCACAGACATCCATTGTTTTTAGTATAACTGCAGGGAAGCTAGCTCGTCTTACATCTCTGATGTTGTGCTGCGTAACAGTGCGCTCAGTGTGCCGTGTGGACAGGCTGGCAGTAGCCTTCAGGATAGTATCTTTATCTGGAGCTTTGGTATCTTGTTTCTTCTGTAACAAACAGCAAAAAAAATATGTAACATTAAAACGTCCGGGTTATTTCCCACAGAAACATGATCAAGCTTACCTTTTCATCTGAACTAACATCTGCCATCTTGGGAGGGGTTGGCGGCGGTCTTTTCTTTATGAGCAGCAAAACATCTGCCAACATAAATGACACACAAACCCATATATTTTAAATATATTTTAAAATAATAAAGACATGTTTGCTCGAATAGCAATGCATACCTTTGTCTTTAAGGTTTTCATCAGCGATAGTTTTGGTGTCGGTGAGGACTCTTTCTGTAGCAGCGTGTATAAGTTTATGATGGGTAAGTGTTTTGGGGTCTTCTAGAGTTCCATGAACATGCTGCAAAAAATAGAGAAAAAAATTATATGTTAGACAAAAGACAAATCTGGGATTGCAGCTACTAAATATGGAGATAACTCATATAGATTTAAAACTTCATGCTTCTTCAGACTCCATTTTACAGATCTTTTGATCAATTTCAGTGCTTAAAATATATTAATGTGTTTATGCAAGATTTATTTGATTATTTTTTTACAGTGGTAAGGATTTAAATATGGAAGCTGCAAATCAGGCAAACTTGCTACAAGACCTTTTTTTTTTTTAATGGTTTTTGTGGCCTTTATTTGAAAGTAGTTCAACAGGAAACAGGGTAATGAGAGAGGGGGAAGACATGCAGCAAATGTTGTCAGGCCAGGAATCGAACCTGTGACCACCACCATGAGCACTAAGGCCTCAATATGTGGGTGGTGCTTTGCCCCTGCACCACCACAGCAACCCCACACTGATCTTTAAAAACCCTGACCTTCTGATTCTGATTACTTTAAAAAACACCAAATATTTTTTTAAAGTAACCTTCAATGTTCCAGTTTTATTTTACTGAAAAACATTAAACTACACCCATGAAACGGCACATGAGGTATTGATTTCAAATCTAAAAAGTTTAGAGCATTCCTGTCCAAACTACTAAGCTAAATGAACAGTAGTATGCATTTTCCTGGCACAGAGTGCCATTTTATAGTATAAAAAAGTAACTACGTTATCTTCAGTTATTAAAAAAAATGTGCATATATCAAACATAACTTTAAAAAAATCTGACTTTGCATTTTAGTGCCTCCGTCTCTTTAAGAAGATCCTACTCTTTCCAACTCTCCACCTTCAGCATGTCATCACAACAATGCTTTTTCATTAAGCCGTTAACGACTGTCTAAGGAGAATAAAGCCTGGTTATAAAAAAACTAGTATTTTGTGTTGTACTTAACATTTTTTATTGTAAGAAAATTATGTTTGTAATAATTTAACCCTTATAAAAAGTCTCCATCTGCATCAAACACCTGTACTGAATGGGCCAAATTTGCATCACTCTTAAATTGCAGCTGGTGGGCCGCACAAAATCAGTTCAAGAGCCATAAATGGCCCCTGGGCCACATTTTTAGACACCCCTGAAATACAGAGAGCATCAGCAACTCATCCAAGAAGTAAAAAGAACATAGCACAACATCTAAACTGCAATATCAGTGCATAATTTCAAAGGATTGCTTGGATACAAGATTGGTTGTGCTATTATTATATAGTAAGTTCAATGTATTTAGACTCATCAAACCAATAATGTATCCTGCCATTTGAGAAAACTTTCAGTCATGCCCTCACTTAATATAGACTTCAGTGACCATTAGCGGTATGTTAAGCTTACGGAGAGAGTGATGGGAGCATCATGATGATGTCAAAGAGAGAGGAAGAGTGAGGGAGGTGTGGGTTAATTACAGTCAATTTCTAGGTGAAACAACAGCTAAAACAGAAACAAATATCGTGTTCGCATATGTATATACCAACTTTATTGTGCAGAATTTGTTTTCTCTAATATGAATTTTGATGTTTTTCCTCATTATTAGTCACAGAAATTGTGACAGGAATCTTTCATTTTAGTTTTGATGCCTTTTATAAAGTCTGGGCTAGAAAACTAATGTACAAACCATCAGTTGTAACGTTGTTTAATGCACTATCTTGACTTAAATTAAATAGAATGATGTCTTTGCAATATTAAACAAATATAATCGCAAAATTATGTTTTCCTAACTGCCTCAGTTAAGGTCAGTGTTCATGACTCAACGTGTTTTATTACACGTAGCTTCTCATTAAAAAATAAAACATAATGCAAAAGCCGAGTATGGTGGTGGTAGTGTGGTGATCTGGGGTTGCTTTGCTGTAATTGTTGGAACCATGACTTTTATGATGGGACTTCAATGCATGTTAACTGTTGCGTTTATAGTGACGGCATTACGTTTATGCTGCTTCACTGTGACTTTCAACTTCCCCTTAGGAAAAAAATAAACTTGTTCAATTAAATCTAATTTAATTAAACTAACAGAAAATCCTCAAAGAAAATGTTTCGTAATAAGTTCATAAGATTACACCACCTCACACCATGTAGCCTAAGCTAATCTACAATTTTCAAAGAGCGAGGTGAAATTCAAACATTGAGAAGTAAAATAATCATTTTAAAACTATTTATTCAAATTTCTAATTAGTTAAGGCAAGGTTGGTGTGGATACATTTTCCCTCAGTTAATTAAATAATCCTTTAAAAACTGCTTTGTCGGATATTCGATGATCTGAAGCATTGATTCAAGTGTGAAAAAACACAAAATCAGAATAAATACTTTTTTACCATATTGTGCAGATTATTACAATGCTTATAAATATTTTTTTATTATTTTATTTAGCAGCAGTATTAATTCGGGTGGGCATTTAATATATTGTTCATCATTTATTGTGATAAATTTCTTATCCTGATAGGTATTTTGATTTATCGCTGTTATGATAAATTACAACTAATCATGTTCAAAACTGTGTTGTTGGGATTAAAGTGTTACTAGCTTCTCCACAGTTTGTTCAATAAAAGTATCAATAAATATCAATAAATTTGAAAATATTTGTGCAGGTCAGATATAAAAATTATGCTTCTTTAAGTGAATATTTCAAGAGAATTATCTGTGATTACAAGCAAAACCACACAGTTACTTTAAAAAAAGAATAAATATTTCTTATCACTTTTATTGCGATCATAATAGTACCACAAAATATTGTGATTAAACAAATAATTGCTGCCTATTTGTTTTGATAAAAATCAACTAAATAATAATTCAAATTTTTTGTTTTAATTGTATTGTTTAAAACAGTAAAACTGGCAGTTTTGCTCAATCTAATGTAAAAAACATATATAGCTACACAAATCATAATTTGACTCATATGATTCACAAAAACAAGAAAACAGAGTAAGACTAGAAATAATTGACTGCTTTTGAGTAGTTTCAGTAAATGAATGAATGAAGTTTGGTTATAGCATAAATAATATAATTTTAGCAACTACAAGACAAGAAAACGACACATAAACAACTGTAGTAAAGTTAAGACAGAAGTGTTTAAGTTGACCATTATATTAATGAGGTTTCACGTTAAAAGGCCAAAAAAGGAGAGAGGGGGTGAGCTGTATAATAATAGAAAGGCTAAGAAGCAGCATGCCTCTCTGACTGGGGACAGAAAAAAGGGCCACAGTGTTAGTTAGCTGAAGAGGGGCAGCCAACCTGCTAAATTATAAATAGCAGAGTCTACCCAGTTACTATAAATACAAAGCCAGTGACACTGACACTGACAGTTTAAAGAGAGGGAATGGCAGGTATATAACACCTCAGGCAGAGGAGTGACAGGACAAAAAAATGTCGAAGAAGACACAAACACCCCTACTTTTAAAAAAACCTACATGTTTCAAGCACCTCTCCTTCAGTTTTTCAACAGTGGTGTCTTCCGTGACCTCCTCTAGCCACTCCGTGCCGTCCATCGTGCAGATGTGTATTTTCAACACTTTGCCGGCGAATATCTTCTCCTCCTGCACGAACATAGCTGCTGCTGCTGCGGCCGAGGCGGCGGCGGAGAGAACCAGCCCGGGGACGGTGGCAGGCGGACAGCCGTTGTTGCCGTGTCTGCTCTTCTCGGAGAGCTAGCGTGCTAGCGTTAGCACCCAGCCAGCCAGCCGTCGCTTGTAAATCCGACGACAACACAGGAAAGAAAGGAAGGGTGCACCGCTCAGCTCAGACCCATTTTTCGGGGTTCTGGCCCGGTTGTCGGTGTGGTGGGAACCGAGTGACGCGTTCTCCGGTCGCCAAGTTGCCGGTTTTTGCCGTTTAGCACATAAGCGGCTGGCAGCGAATATCCTATTTTTACTGTAATGTTGTGAACTGTGAACTGCAACTGTACTCGCGGCGGGGCATTCTGGGAATTGGAGTTGGTTTCGCTTGTCCCATGTCAACGGAGCAGAAAAACGGGCCAAACTAGTTCACTACGCAAACATTTTAGTTATTAAGATGTTATGTATTGCAAAATACGACGTCGTAATAGGGCCATTGTAGATTGAAAAAAGTGAATTTTTACTCCCCAAAAATCTAGAAAAGACAAGAAAATTTCTGAGCTTGAAAAAAATGATAGAATCTCCGAAAATATGTTGGGGGTTTTTTCTTCTTTTCCCCCAGGTTTTATTGGCTCTTTATTTTAAATTTTAGACAGGAAAGTGAGAAATGAAAATTTTTAGATAAATTTAAAAGATTTTCTAGGTAAAAACTGGAAAATTCAGAGTTTGAATAGTCAAAAATGTGACAGAAAAATTCCAAGATATTTAGATTAATTTCAGGCCTATTCTGGAAAAAACTTGGGATTTTTTGAGTTCCAAAAGTCAAAAATCTGCTTAAAAACCCCCCTCATATTTTCCAGAATATACACGTTTTATATGAAACTTGTGCTGCAATGCAGAAAATGGCCATATAGGTGTAAATTTCCACTAAAAACTCTGCAAATTTTAGATTAATCTCAGTAATTTTCTAGAAAAAAAGATGAAAATTTCAGAGTTTCAGAGGTCGAAAATCTTTTGGAATAATTAAAAGTCAAACATTTTCTACTTTCAAAACTCAGAAATATGCAAGTTTTTTCTCAAGAATTTCTTAAATTAATCTGAAAATTTCCTTGATTTTTCTAGCAAATTTCTGACTGTTGATGCAGATATTAGATTGTCTTGATCTGTCGTGTCTGTCTCTAAGAAATGAACAAAATAAAATAATATTTAAAAAAGCAGGCTTGTTATCTGCCATGTACTTAGAGCAAAATAAAACTTTAAAAATGTAGCAAATAGCACTAAAGTTAGTTCTCTTTAGGATCTTAACATTACACAATATTTGTGAATAAAGATGGGTTGCAACATTGCTAAATCTTTCCTTTGATTAGTTAATTGTAGCTGGCATAAACTTCAGAGTACTACAGCGTTTTAGCCTGTTGTGATGCATAAATAGGAACGTTACTCAACTACACCACTAGATGGAGACAGGCTAAAAGATGTTTAAATTATTTTGCTGTTACTTAAAGACAAAATTAATCTCAAATATTCGATAATATAGCGTTTAGTGAACAAAAGAGCCGTTCTCATGAGATTAAGACACCAACGTGTCCTTTATTATAGCAGGTAACCTTTATACAGAATGAAAATAAACAGCAGAAATACATTTAATGCGCATGATAACTTTACAAAGGAAGCAAACAAATATAAAAATGCTACCACAACCTAACATATTCCTTTTTCCTAATAATATTTCAAAAATCAAAACAGAATGCATCTCACATAATATTTAAGTGGATTCAACTGAGAACTTAGTTGGCAGTGCTTAAAAAAACATTTCCGCACGTACATAAAAGGTTATCTCAGTGAGGTTTTGTGTCACAGAACAGTAAATAAATATAAATTTATAAAACCTCAATGTTTATGTATTTTTTCTTCATTTTTGTGAAAACAATACCTAACAATATATTTCATTCATTTGTGTATACTTCAAATTGATTTGTGCCTTTGGGCCAGAAAAATAGAAAATATATAATCTGATCTGTTTTACATTTTAGAGAGTTTTGACCAGTGCAGGATCAATTCGATGCATGCTGAAGACTTAAGATTTCTTAAACAAAATCTTGCTTATGAGGGAAATGCAAAGCATATTTACAGAAGAAAGAACACAGCCATAGGCTCAAACTAATCGGAGGGAGAAGGAAATACATTTTCCAGTTCCCTCTGGACAACAACAAACATCGTGGCCAACAGGCCAGTTCTCCAAAAACCACAGGACTCACAACAACTCAGGCCTGCGTCAGTTAACCGCCAATCTCCAAGATGGCCGTACAACATGTCACCTCCCCACCACAAGAAAACATAATAATGCAAATTTTAAAGGAACAGCGTATCGCTGCCTCGTCGATTTAACAAAATGTACAAAACTCTAGAGAGCGTCACTACGATTTACTGGATGTTTGGATGCCTTCACAGGAATCTCTTCACACTTTCAAACTGAAATAACACTGAAACTTAAAATGTGCTCTAGCTTAATCACAATTTTTATTATAAACATGATTATACAAAATATAAACAGAAGAAAAAGGACAAAGACTAAGAATGTTTAGGGAAATAAATACCCAGTGTGTATGCTGCAGAAAACAAACTATAAAAGAAAGAAGTGTCTCTAAAGGACTTTCTCTGTCCTGCGTATGACCCAGAACGACAGGAACACTGCGAAAACACAAAATATTACCAGCTATTTTTAATTTAATTCTAGTGCAAATATCTAAGTACATTTGAAAGGAGAAAAAAACTAACCTAGAAGTAATTTTACAGCAATAAAGAGAACATATCTTCCTTAAAATATACAGTTTTTTTTAATTAATGTATATGATGGATCTCAGGAAGAGTAGCTGCTTAGTTAATTCAGATCCTAAACAATAAACAATATTTAAGAAAAATGACTAGTTCCACTGGCCGATTATTAGACATTTTTTCCATATTACAAGTTAAATAATATGGCAGTGGAACTAGTCATTTTTCAGCAATAATACAAAATATTAACTTAAAATAAGTTCATTTTTGTTGAAAAGTTATTTGAAAGTTAGTTTTGTCTTATTTCAAGTGTAATAAGATATTTTAACTAAAATCTAAACCGAAAATACTTGGTAAGAGTTTCTGTGTTTTTGCAGTCAAACAAGCATAAATACAACCTTAATAAATAAAAAAAAACAAATAACAGTAAATGAAGCACATATGTTGCTGTTAGTAGAAAAATTTATAAAAGTCCTACATCTCGATTACAGCTTTGCTTGATTTCCTTTTTGAGTGCTTTTTTTTATTTTTTTTATACAAAATAAAAATTATATACAGCAGCTCATCCTGTGGGGTGCAGAGACTCTCAGCTTCCTACTTGAACTGTTCTGATATGTGGCCGATCTGGGACTGCATGCTCGTCGGTGGGCTGGAAATGCCCTCTGACCAGTCGGACATGTTGGAGTGGGGGGACGAGCTGGACCACTGGTCGGGGGATCCGGGGGACGGGGTCAGGAACGGGTGGTCCGGCACCTGGACCTGATGGTTGGGGGTGTTGTCCATCGGGCCGGAGTAGCTATGCTGGGAGGGAGGAGTTAGGAACTGGGTGCTGGGCATGATCTGGCTCTCCTGAGGGAGGATGGTGTGTATGGGCATGCTGGAGTTGGCCGCCCCCTGCTGGAGCTCGGGGGAACTGAGGTCCCCGCTGATGAAGTTCTGACTGCTGGTTGGGTTAGAGTTCTGGTGTTGCTGATGCAGCTGCTGCAGGTTCTGCATCTGCTGCATCATGTGGGTCTGCGGGCCCAGTCGGGTGTTCTGCAGGCCCTGGTAAGTCATCATCTGTGACAGGCTGGAGTTGGGGTGGCCGTTGTGGAGCGGCGCTGCGATCATCCCCTGGTGCAGGCTGCTTTGACCTCCGGGGGGCGCTCTCAGCGGGTTGAACTGCCCCGCCTGGCCCATGCCGCTGTGCATCCTGGCCAGCCAGTCGCACTGGCCGCCCATGGCGCCCTGTGCGGCCGGGCCGGACACCGGCAGGTGGGTGAGGCGGGGAGGCAGCGGGTCGAACTGCATCCGGGCCAGCTCCTGCTTGTTGGGCATCACCATGTGGTTCACAGCCAGGTGGGGGTCCGCCATGCCCTGCAGGTGGTTCAGAGACACGGACGGCGACTGCTGGAACGGGGAGGTCATCATCGGCGGCGACGCCACATCAGAAACGTAACCGTGAGGAGACTCCAGTGAATCTACGGGCGACAGGACAGCCGAGCTGTCCAGGAGCGTCCCGGACTTCCCGTCCTGAGAGTTCTTCTTCTTCACCTTCATGTCTTTGCCGTCTTTGCAGCCAATCCCCTTGTGACTGGGCTTGCGGGTTTTCTTCCCTTGGCCTTGACTTTGAGGCTGCGGCTGCTTCATGCCGCCTAGAAACCCGCTGGGTGAGCAGAGCGGGGAGGAGAGAGCGCTACTCAGGGAGCCGCCGTGCATGGGGGGGCTTCGTACCAGGTTGTACTCGTCCAGCAGCCTCACGATATCGTGGTGCATCCGCTCCTGCGCGATGTCCCTGGGGAGCCGGTCCATGTGGTCCGTTATTTCTCTATTCCCAAAGTGATCCAATAAGACCTTGGCAGTTTCATAGCTTCCTTCTCTGGCAGCCAGGAACAGAGGAGTTTCCTCCTGAAGCATGAAGGAGACAGAGTCTTAAATGAGACAGTAGCCGCTGAAAGAACACTTTTCTATTCAGCCTTTAGCAAGAACATGGCCCACTATGCCATGACGGTCATCAAAAAAACCTGTGCGGTCCCTAATATTGCTTCTATTTAGCTGATTTCTCTTTAAAAATGTGCGTTCAGCTACACAAACAGACAAGGATGCAAACCAAACTTGTCATTTTATTGTAAAACGTTTAATGAGGAAATATACTAGCTGTCAATCATAATGGCTGTCAGCCAGAATGGATTTACATGGATTTGCAGCTAACATTTTTTTTTCAAGGTAAGAAACAAATGTTCATATACTTTACAAGTAAGTATGATATTGCTTTATGGAGAAGGTAAGCGTTGAATCATTAGTAACCATGGAGAAATTACCCCACCATCATATAGCCTAGCATGTACAGAAAAGACTGGTAAGCATCTAGACTTTAGTACATTTTTAATCCTGGTCCGGTTTAAGGGGAAACGCAGTGATATAGTGATATAAATCATGTGGTTTGAATTCAGGCAAAGTCGGTAATTTCATCAAAAGGTCAGGAGGGAGGAGGTACGGGTCGGTTTCTAAGCTAGATATTTCCAACTTTTGTAAATACCACCGTCTATGAGCCCCAACCAGGTGTGTTACGTTCACAGATTAACTCGACTCGAACAAGAAAAAACATCTTGGGTAA